GGCATGAGAAGTTACTGTAGAGCTTCTTGGATGCTGGTGAACTAAAATATGATGAGGTCTCCGGTCCTGGGCTTCCCTCTCCATCTCTTGATCCTTCTACAAACTTAAAACTCAGCACAAAAATTAGTTCAACATCAGAACTTCAATGCAAACAACACAACACAACACAAATACACTACAACAATACATGAACTCAAAATGCAAACAATACATTCAAAATAAAGAAGAAAAAGGAGGGGAAGTTACTGCAGCACTTTCCTGGATGGTGATGTCTTCATTGATGAGTCCTCCAGGGGTGGGTTGAAGTCTTCCTCCATCACTTGATCTGTAAAAATAAATAAATCAAATCATCAGTGACAATGCATGGAAATAAAATTGGAAATGAATGAAAAGGCATGAGAAGTTACTGTAGAGCTTCTTGGATGCTGGTGAACTAAAATATGATGAGGTCTCCGGTCCTGGGCTTCCCTCTCCATCTCTTGATCCTTCTACAAACTTAAAACTCAGCACAAAAATTAGTTCAAAGAGGTGGGAGGTGTCCGGTAGGGGGTGGCTCCTCCTCCACTCCTCGGTGAGGTCCGCCGCTAAGCCCACACTGTGATGCTGTTCGGCCAGAGATAGGGACCGATGCGACGAGAAGGGGAATGGCTCGTGAGCGCCCTTGGCCCCCGGGCAATTGCTCGAGTCACTCACCTTCGGATGATGCAGGCAGGGCCCAAGAAACCGTTCTTCTCCCGCCGACCCGGAGATGTGTTGATGCAAGGAACGATGCAAATACGAATATAACAAAACAAAAGTCATCTTCATTTTCGACCGGCTGGAAATGAAACTCATAGTTTGCTTGTTTTTGGTTCAGTGGCGGATGCAGAAATTTTCGCAGGCCCCAATAAAAATTAATATAGATGCTTTTTAAAGAAAAAAAAAATAGAATGCGAACCTGGCCATAGCAGGGGGGGGGGGGGGGGGAGNGGGGGGGGGGGGGGGGGGGGGGGGGGGGGGGCGGGGGGGGGGGGGGGGGGGGGGGGGGGCATGCGCACCCCGCCTCCCCCCACCCCTACTAGATACGCCACTGGTTTCGTTTGCTTTTTGTTGGGACCAGAGGTGGAAAAGTTTCTGTAACCTGGTAACCAGGTTACCGGGAACGGTAGCGACCGATCGGGAAGGCAAGGCGGGGAGAAAAAATAAATAAATAACAGAGAAAAAAGGGCGAGGGGGGAAAGAAGGAAATAATGCAAAAAGAAAGAGTGGAAGACAAGAGGCAGTCGAAGTGTTCGGAATGCGGTATGGTAATGAAGATGAATATAAATGTAGAAGGTAAATGACGACTGGCTGCGAAAAGATGAAGCCCTCAAGAGGCATCGGGAAGATGATATCGGTGGGACGGAAGTACCTGAGCGGTATCGGGAAGATATATAGCTAAGATATATATAACTGTATATCCCCCATGTGACCGATAAGTAGGGAGGAGGACATGGATTTTTTCCTCCTGTGTCGAGCGCGTAGGCGGAAAGATCTCGGTCTTGCGTTTTTCCTCAATCCTGGGGGTTGTAGGATCTCGTCCCGATGAAGATAGGTGAGAAGTGGGGACTTCGATCAAATTCGTCTGACGGTAAAATAAAGGCGGCCTTGTCATCGGCACGAGAAAGGGATTATCATTTTGAATGCGTATTTCACGAGGTGAGAGAAACTGATGACCGAATTCGTCTCGCGCCTCGGAAACCCCTTCCCTGGGTGGGAATGGAGCAAAATTTGCATGCTAATTAATATTCGTAGCATGGGAGAGGAGTACTATGTGAGATTATTAAGATTCCGCCCACTCACGTTCCTGGGAAGAAATAGAAATGTTTAGATGGAAAGTAAGGTATTACTGAGATGTTACTCTCTCATCTTCCCATCCGTATCTCTCAATAAAGAGACTGTTTCCCGTTGTCAAAGGTGTCATGATCCATATGAAAATGGAATAAACTTCCTTGGCAAGGGGAACCACTCTCTCTCCACGCCATATACAAGAATTGCCGAGAGTCTTCTTGTGCTATGTTACGTCTCTCAACAAATGAACTAATTGGAACCTGGAATGGAATCGAAACTGGTATGTGCCTGCTTCGATTCTATTCGCCTGACGCCAGACAAAAGAGGAAACAGAAGCTCCTAGACAAGCCAGAAAGTCAACAGTCGGAGCTGTTCTGCTCTCCCTCGGCTTATCGGCTGGCCCGTGCGCTCTCCCTGTTTCCATCATCCCAGGCAGAAGGAATCCTTTGGGGGGGGGGGGGGGGGGGGGGGGGGGGGCTTACAGGAAGGCGGAATGGAGATTTACAAACAGATTATGTAGCTACAATATATGATACAAAAAATAATGCAATTGCCCCACTAGGTGCAGATTGGGCTCCTACTCTTGTCTCTGGAGGTAAAGTAATCAAACCCGCTGAGTGCGGGTTAGAGTCATTACAGGAAGGCGTGAGAACCATCTGGAAAACGTAGATTCCGGAAAGGAAATTTCCGAAACCGTTCTATTTATCTGGAAGAATCTGGAGAAAACCTTTGACCGTGAAAGAGAGAAACCATTGCGACAGGCTTATTATAGGCGGGAATATCGATGAAAATTGCATGTCCTCATCCGAGTCGAATACTTCGTCATGGATAATTAGAAATTTTCTAGGTGAAGGGCAATCATCGCAGGAAAAACAAAAAGTAGTCATCACACTTTGACTTCTGGAAAACATGAAAACATTGACTAGAAGTTTCTTCTCGAGACGTCATCAAGGGCTCCATTTTATCGCCGGATATTTTTCTCCACGAAGAAAAAGCACTGGGGCAACAGCGAAACAGGCTAAATACGAACACAATTGGTATCCTTTCATCAGAGCTTTTCATGCTACGGTAGCACCGTGTCATGTCATTGTCACACGTCACATCTCCTTGCAGAATTGAAACAGAGGAGAGAAACTGTTGCACTTTTTCGAACTTCGTTGAACTGAACAACAAATCTGGCACCTATTCGTCCATGAATTCATTGAAAATAATGAAATCAAACAACAATCTGACCAGTGATGGATGACCACTCCATCGGAAGACACGTCCTTTTTAGTGAAGAAACCTCATTTCAGAATTTAATTCATTCATGAATAACATAATGAAAATAAGAAATTCGATCGCAACAGCTAAGGGCCTATGGCCCACATTACAAAATGTAACGCGAAACGGCAAAGAAAGAACAAGACAGTCAGCATGGGTTCGGTGGTGAATAGAAATCAATTCCCCTTCTCAGGAAATGCGAATCATTGGACATCACAACAGACATCCATTTTTGCACAATACATTCAAAAACAACCTCACTTTGCGGTAAAAATAATTGAACAACAATGATGAAGGACCATGAAGGATGAAGTGACAACATGAACCACACAAGCAAAATGCACCAAGAGAGCAGTGCAAACTAAATCAAACACTCAAGACCAGTGCAGGGACCACTGGTCGGTGCTGCAAGGTTTAAACAGTGTTGGGGCACGGGAGAGAGGAAAATCACAAGTTCACCAGACAATAAAGTCAAAATAAGGGTCCAAGAGCAAGGTCCAAGTATGAGGTCCAGGAAAATTGAAACAGCAATGAGGTAGGTCGAAAAAGACGAAGGAACCTCACTGGCCGCCAGGAAAGTAGAACTTCTATGATAGAAGAGAGGTGGTATCAGAATGGAAGGTTAGGGAGAGGTCGACGGCATCAACGTCATTGCATCAATTCCCTGAGTTGAATCCTAAAAGAAGTACGAAAACAAACCATGAGGGGCTTATGGTGCAAGGTGTCAAGAAAAGAAAAAATGCAAAGAAACAGGTACTGATCAATCAAAATCATTTTCTACTTTCATTGCAAAGATACATTTACCTTTCATAACAAGGAGCTTCTTAGATGTACGTGAAGTCTAAGAAAAAAAAACCTCTAAGTGCGGGATGAAATATCTCACCATCACTTGATCTGCAACAAAAAAATTGAAAAATCATAGGAGACAATACATAAAAAGAAACTTGCAAATGCAATTAAAAGAAATTAAAGAAAGAAAAATTTACTGCAGAACTTCTTGAATGCAGGTGAGGTCTGGAAATACAAAGCCTCCAGGTGTAACATGAGGTCACTCTCCATAACTTGATCAGTGAAAAAATGTGCAAACATCATAAATGAGAATGCATGAATCGAAAATTGAAAAAAAGGGAGGAGAATTTACTGTAGAGCTTCTTGGATGCTGGTGAACTAAAATATGATGAGGTCTCCGGTCCTGGGCTTCCCTCTCCATCTCTTGATCCTTCTACAAACTTAAAACTCAGCACAAAAATTAGTTCAACATCGGCACTTCAATGCAAGAACACAAGAATGGCAATAAAGTGTTCACTGGAAGCAGAGGACAAGAAATAAATTCCTAAAACTTTAATCTACTTGGGAACAGAGGGCACATATCTTATCATATATACATATCTAATTTGAAATTAAATGGGAACAGAGGCCAATTACTAAGATATTTCATTTGAAATTAAATGGGAACAGAGGTCACATACTTACATATCTTATTTTAAATTAAACGGGAACAGAGGCCACATACTAACATATCTTATTTGAAATTAAACGTTAATTTAAAGTAATAAACAGAAACACACTATAAATCCTGACGTAGAATGTAATTCCTCAAAATTTCTCAATACAAGAAGGATACCATTGGATTTTAAAAGGATATAAAACTTAGTTCTTGGAGATTGGAGAAGTACGGCGCAGGTCTGTGGTCCTTTGTCGTTCGTCCGTTTCTTCATTTCGCCGCCTCTTCTGTCCGGATTCCTTAAGACAAGGAATTTTCATAAACCCTTAGTACATACCCAATATTGTTAAACGCACTAATAAAATAATAGTTGAGCGTTGACTCACAGTGCATTTCGGGCTGGAGGTCCAAAGGATGATGGAGGAAGACTGAGGGGGAGAGACAGATACATCGCTTGGGGCGGAAGAGGGTGGCTTGCGCGAGCGAGGCCGTTGCGCATTTTTTGTTCTTGGCCCGAGGCTGCTAGTCCTTCCGATTGGCAAGATTACAGGGTTAGGACTTCCGAGATCGAAATTGAGTCTGCTTGACAACAGGGCGAGTTTCGAGCCATCTGCCCCAACGACCGCACCGAGCGACGCACTCAGATCTGTCGACGATATGTCACCAGCCTCTGTTCATTCCGAATCGCTTAAGATAGCGTGTTTGCCAGAGCGGTGCTTGCCTTAGTGACGTTGACCAGCGCATCGTGAACCCAAACGTTTCAGTTGCCAATGGTTGCCTTGGGTTTACCCGGGCCTCATAAGAGCATGGAAAGATTCCAATTTGGCAGTGGCTGATGGAAAAGCTGCGCTTCGCTCTGGGTAAACTTTCCTTTGGGGCTTTTATTTTGTTTTCTTGTAAAAGAAATTGCGAAAGCAGACGTTATTGCATTGGCCTGTCTCGGGTTAAGCCGCGCATAGGGCGAGTGCGCCCTGTTTTGGGTCAAAGGGACGGCGTAGAGTTCGTTAAGGGAAAAAAAATGTATTCCTACATGTTCAATCCTGGCATCTCCGTCCGTCTTTTTCTTTTTTTAAACGGATCGAGTATTCATATGAAATCAACGTCAAGGGAGAGCTTTGCCGCTCGACGAGATTCGCATTAGCTTGCGTGTCGGAAAGGTTCACAATCTCACGCACGGTCGCAAAATGTTTGGCGTTTGCCCTTCGTCACCCGACCAGATAGAACTCAATTGGAACTCTCACGTCCGGTCATATTGGCTTGGGACGGGTCACCTGAAAATTCCCGCTTAACCTTCTAAGACCTAGGTGACACGGGCATGCACCTGATGCACCTCCCCCTCTCCCTCACCCTTCACCCCTCCCCAATAGGCTGAGGCCAGCCCCCTTCGTGCGGAGAGACGCGACTGTCTGGCGCTGCCGATCTAACAAAA